TTTAGTTCCTCTCCACTTTCTGCAATAAAGGCAGTGTCATTCGCATGCTAAGGTTATTGATATTTCTCCTGGCAATCTTGATTCCAGCTTGTGCTTTATCTAGCCTGGCATTTCACATGATGTACTCTGCATATAAGTTAAATAACCATGGTGACAATATACAGCCTTGACATACTCCTTTCCCAATTTTGAACCAGTCTGTTGTTCCATATCTGGTTCTAACAGTTGCTTCTTGACCTGCATACAGATTTCTCAGGAGGCAGGTAAGGTGGTCTGGTATTTCCATCTTTTTAAGAATTTTCCATGGTTTGTTGTGATCCACACAGTCAAAGGCTTTATCATAGTGAAGTAGATGTTTTTCTGGAATTCCCTTGCTTTTTCTATGATCCAGCTGATGTTGGCAATTTGATCTCTGGTTTCTTTTCTAAATCCAGCTTGTACATTTGGAAGTTCTCAGTTAACATATTGTTGAAGCCTAGCTTGGAGGATTTTCAGCATTACTTTGCTAGCGTATGAAATGAGTGTAATTGTGCAGTAGTTTAAACATTCTTTGCCATTGCCCTTCTTTGGGATAGGAATGAAAACTGATCTTTTCTACTCCTGTGGCCACTGCTGAGTTTTCCAAATTTGCTGGCATATTGAGTGCAGCACTTTCACAGCATCATCATTTTAGGATTTGAAATAGCTCAGCTGGAATTCCATCACCTTCACTAGTTTTGTTCATAGTGATGCTTCCTGAGGCCCACTTGACTTCATATTCCAGGACGTCTGTCTCTAGGTGATTGATCACACCATCGTGGTTATCTGGGTCATGAATGTCTTTTTTGTATAGATCTTCTGTGTATTCTTGCCACCTCTTCTTAATACCTTCTGCTTCTGTTAGATTCATACTGTTTCTGTCTTTTATTTTCCCTTCTACCATTTACGAAATATCGAGTAAAGTTCCGTGTGCTGTACAGTAGGTCCTTGTTGGTAATCCAATTTATAAATGTAGTATATATCTGTTAATCCCATCCTCCTAATTTATACTTCCTCCCCTGACCCCTCTTATAACCATAAATTTGCTTCCGCTTGCCACCTCTTCTTAATATCTTCTGCTTTTGTTAGGTCCATACCATTTCTGTCCTTTATTTTCTCTTATAGGTATTTACAAAATATTGAGTAAAGTTTCCTGTGCTGTACAGTAGGTTCTTGTTGGTTATCCATTTTATAATGTAGTATATATCTGTTAATCCCATCCTCCTAATTTATATTTTCTCCTCTTCCCTCTTTTTATAATCATAAATTTGTTTTCTATGTCTGTGGATTTATTTCCATTTTTTAAATGACACTTTTTTCTCTTAATTTACTCTTTTCTAATGATAGAAATCAAAGTGAGAGAGAGAGAACTCACCTATCCAAATTTGAATTCAGAGTTCTTTTCACTTACTATGCTATCAGCATCCAGAATATGAAACTGTCATCTGCTGGATTACTGAGCTGCTTGTCAAACTCCTTAGGATTTTGGGAGCTAGCTTTCCATTTCCTTAGTAGACTTCCATTGTTACAGTGTAATAGGTTGTCCTTGTAATAGTAGAGCCCTAGCCACTGTATTCTTCCACTCCTGAATATCTCAAATGTCAAAGGAAAACAACATCTTAATATAATTACATCTAACTGCATAAGGAAGAGATGTAGATAGATAAATAGAAATATGTATCTCAAATCATACATTATTTTCACCAGTATCATAATCACTATCATCATTAAAATTTTTCTTTTGATGGAAGCTTAACTCCCATTGCTTTCTTGGTATAAGATTTTGTTTGCCATAAAATTCCTGCAGTGGGTTATTAGGTTACCTTTCTTTATTTGTTTTTAGTTTTTTGAGTTTTTTAAGATCAGACATCTGATTAAAACTTTATATTGTTTTATTAAATAAAAATTGTAAACACAGATTTTAAGATTGTTAATGCAAAATCCTTTTCAGACTCATAGATGGCTCAATGCATTTGAGGAAGAGAAAGGAGTTGGTATGAAGCCTCAGATGGAGATGATTTTGAACTGTCACTGGTTAACTCCCCTGATTCTGATTAATTAAACTATCCACATAGGTGCGACTTAAGTAGTTGTGTTTAATAACCTCCATAGCTATTTTAAACAATGTTACCTTACTGTTCAGAGAAGAAGCTTTATTTTTTTATTTATTTTGTCATACTGCCTGGTGTGTGGGGTCTTAGTTCCCTGACCAGGGATTGAACTGTGTCCCCTCCATTGGAAGCATAGAGTTTTAACCACTGGACTGCCAGGGAAGTCCCAGAAGATGCTTTAGTATGACATGTGAGTATCATTGCTTTCTGCTGTGCTGTTTTCTTTCTAAGTTTGGACATCAGAAAGTACATACATACATACATCCATAAATACATTTTTTAAAACTGTTGCACATATTTAAGGCTTTTAAGAATCTATTTGGCAGAGAGTTAATGTTTCCTGGAGCAGGAACTACTCTACAAATGTAGGCTGGATGCTTTAGGAGGTAAAGTTCACCATATTAACAAACTGTGTTTGGACAATTTTGGACAGCAAACAGGCTTCAGAATCAGAAAAACTAGGTTTAATTCCAAATTCTGCATCAGTCTTTGTTCTCACTGATCATCGGTTTCCTTATCTTCTAACCAGGGTAATAAAAGATTCTGACATCACAGAGTCATTTTGAGGATAAATGAGGAAATATAAGTCTAAGTGTTTTCTAAATTCTAAAACAGTTTAAGAGGCAAACTTTTTCTTCTTTGGTCCAAAAAGAATCAGGAAACCTAACTGCAGGACTTGTGGAGTCTATATGAAATAGTGTGTGGTGTGTCTCATATGGTCAGGCATTATATGTCTATAGATAAGAGCTCCATCTCTGCAGTTTAAAAAAAAAAGCATACAGCATGTTGGGGGTTCCATTTTAGGCCAAAATTTTCTAGTAGAAAACCCCCAGCTGGTTTTGGAGACCACTTACTCTCTAGGATTTCTGCTTTTACTTTACTTTGGTCTCTGATAATTTCTTTTCCTTTCATGCCTGCTCTGGAATACAGTAAATAAGATTTAAAATATATTTTATTTTCAAACACTTCATTGATTTTATGGGGATGGTCATCAGAGTATATAGATGATCATGCTACTGGAAATAGAAGTCTCCCATTTAAGTCAAAACTCAATAACAGAATACCTGCTTGTGTAGAGATCTATAAAAATTGACATCTATATAACTTTAAAGAAGGTCAGTATTCACTATTCAGGTAATTGGGCTTTTCTGAATGTCACACATGATCAAAGAACTATATTTTTCCTCACTTGGTTACTGTTATGCTCTGAATCACAATCTCTGCTGTTTTTGTGTTTCCTTTACACCTTTATTCCAAAGTAATGTCTTCAAGCCTACATTATATTTATCTTCTAACTATCCTCAAAAATTCATTTACTTATTTTACCATTAAGTATGTAGTATGGGTTGAATAACAACTGGGGATGATAAAGGTGGAGGAAGGGTTCAGAATGAGTTTGTTGCATTTGGTTATATTCTCACTATTGTTTTTCCTCTCTATATAAGCTACATTGCTAAATACAAGAATAACTTTTGTGTATTTTATGTCTTTGAGCATCTTTGCACCTACTTTATCAGAATTTCATTGTCTCTGCTTTCAATATTGGTACAAAAGTGAATGCTACATTTTTTAGTTTGTTTTGTATTATAACTTAGGGTAAAAGTAAAATTCCAGAAAATTGCATTTCCAAACGTTTATAATTGATATTCAAAATAATACTAAAGATTCAGTATGCAACATTTTTTAATAAACCCCATCTCTTTCTAGCCAGTGGAGTGAGAAATACCTTTATGGACCACCAGAAAAGACTGCACCTTTTTCATCTCAACCCTCACCTTCCTGTCATGTCAGTCACACAGAGAACCACAGTAGACGTGTGCTAATGAAAAAATCTGAAACACATTTACTCTTCTGCTTTACAATTAAATTAATGGACACTGAGTGACAATTTTCCATGTCCCTTATCTTTACCATGCCAAGAGATAGCATGTGTCATTGTCGCTATTTCTCAACTCCCTTTTCTTTAAAACCGGACAGATACCTCAGCTGATGATGGCAATAAAAATGATTTCCAATAAGTGAGATGCCTGCTGGAGGGGGAATAGATATCATGGGCAGGTGGATTCTGAGGGTCTCCACGGCAAGGCTGTTAACTGAGTTCCAAAATTATCTCTGCATTTTACAGTTATTCAGCAAATCTCTTCTCACAATAAAAAGATCCTCTGTGCTGTTTAAAAATGTCATGGCATTCATTTCATTCCATTTCATGGAACAGAAGCAGCTTGTTGATTAAATGAAAAGAGAAGTTAGCCTGGCAATCCATTGCTTTTTACCCTCCATTTATAGGGTGATTGAAAATTTCATAGTAATGATCTCTGTGTGGTTTTTCTCTGGCATTACTCTTAAAGCTTGCTGGGTAGCAACCTTTCTTTATTCCCTTGAGGTAATCAATTTGGGATAGTTGTTTACTATATATCACATACACACACATGCTTTGTTTGAAATTCACTAACAAAAAATTGCTAGATTTTGTTCCCTACCCCTCTTTGTTGATTTGCCTGCAGTAAATGATTTTCAGTTCCCTAGGGGATTTTTTTTTTTTCTTGTCTACTACCACTAGAGCTTCTGTCTTTCCAAAGCTATCAGTAAAATCCAAACTAGAAAATTTTATTTTATCCAACTGTAATAGTCTTTATCTCTGGACCCAGGAGATTGTCTTTTTTTGAATGTATATGCAGGATTTTAACTCCATTTTGAACAGAAATCCAACTATACTCCAATAAAAGTTAATTAAAAAGAAGAAGAAGAAGAAGAAGAAGAAGAAGAAGAAATCCAAGCCCAGGTTTCTGAGGAAATCTCTGACAAATGTTCCTGGTTAGGAGAATTGATAGTTTGCCTTCAATAAGAAGCTTACTTTCTGATCTTTTTCAGATGCTATCTTGTCATAAGGAAGCAGTCATGACAGTGTGTTAAAGAATACTGACCTCTAACCAATAACGACTTGACATGGCTCATTCCTCTGCTGACCTGCTGTGGCTGCTAATAGCCTAACAGCAGCTACTGGTGTGAAGCATTAAACCATGAAGAGAGAAAAAAAATCTAACACTCATGATCCCTTCATTTAAAAACTGTCGGGAGTGGTATTGAACCAAGTTCCCTAAGACTAACCAGCTGTTCCATAAATATAATTAACCTTGGTACTTAGAAGTTATATATTATGTTATGTTTTGTTATGTATGGGATAATAGCTTTAAGATTAATTCTGATTTAGGCTTTATTATTGTACATTATATAATTTAATATATAATACACATCACACTAAATTTAATAGAAAAATAGTTCAATGTCCTTTAAACATAAGAAACAGACTTGTCATGTATTTTTTCATACATATGACATTTTAATCCCCTAGACAACAGAAAAGGCAATTTGGTAAAGAAAAAATTATTCTTATTCATTCAAATTATAAAATGTACATTTATAAAATGTATAAAATTTGGGTGAAACTACAAAGTTTTATTTTTTTTTTAATAGGCACTTTTTGGCACTCTGCCAAATTATAGATTTTATTAGATGAGGTAAATACAGTGGTTCACCATAGTTTAATATTTTATGATATAGTTTTGTATGTCCTTTTGACTATGACATTCTCTTTAAGGCACAATACTTCTCTTTCCTTAGAACTAATTTCTTAGTTAGGGTTTATTTTTTATTGTTTTTGTTATTTTCTGTAAGTCTGAATGGACTCAGAAGGGAAATTAAGTGGTCATAATGGATATGAATATTTTAAATTTACTATCCTACATTAGATGAAAATATATTGAATTTTAATACTAATTCTAAATTTTCAGACACATTTGTACCAATTTTGATGCATTTGTCTGATCATATTTACTGAAAACCCAAGGGGAAAACATTGTAAATGTTTAGGGTTACTATCAATTAAAAATTTCCAATTAGGTATGTCATTCATTCTCAACTTTTCCTCACAACCAATGGACTCAAAGTAGATGAGCTGTCACTATTACCTGAAGGAATGCTGCTGACAATGGTCTTTTCTTTGAACCACGCTCAAAGAAAACTTTGAATGTAGATTCTCCTCCAAAATCACTTTAATTTGCAGGGCACTCGGTGTGCCTGAAAGGCCTATTTTGGTCCCTGCCAGGAAGATTCCATCAACTTCTATCTGTGTCACTTGCCTGCTTCTGTTGACTTAGCATTTCCTGAAATACAGTCTTCACTGACCTAGTACTCCAGGAAACACCAATTTAGCATGGTAAATTACCATTTTCACTGCTGCCTCAGCGTTTCCGGCAAAGACTTTTTTTCTCCCCTTAGTCCCTCTGTCAGAGAGCTCTGGTTTTGAGGTGGATTTAGAAGTTGAGGACTATCACAGAACTTAATGACAGGATGCCCTCAAGTGGTAACATTTACTCTATCTAGAAAGGTCTAAGTGGTTTACGACATGAAGACACAATTCATCCTGTGGTCTCCTTAATAGCGGTGGGTAGCATCCCCGATGGCTCAATAATGGAGTAGCATGTGAGAGCTGAGTGAAAGAAATGGAAAAGATATTAAATGTACTTGGAAGGAGATAACATGTATTTAACCAGAAGGATTTCTCTACACATCTCAAATTACCACTCTGTAAAACAGCTAATGGAACTCTTCCTGTCTACCACTGAGTACCAAGAATACCCAATTGGCTATGGGTATTGTTTGAATATACTTATGAGAACCATGGACTTCCCTGATGGCACAGATGGTAAAGATTCTGCCTGCAATGCAGGAGACCCAGGTTCAATCCCTGGGTCAGGAATATCCCCTGGAGAAGGGAATGGAAACCCACTCTAGCATCCTTGCCTGGAAAATCCCTTAGAGGAGCATGGCAGGCTACAATGATTGAAGCGACTTAGCACGCATGCACTGACCTCAAAAAATGGCACATTTCACAAAGACCTAATTTCTACTAATAACTACTCTGAATTTCAGATTAAAACAAATATATGAATATCATGTAGAGTGGTGTCTGATAGCAAGAAGGGGCTTAAGAAAGAATAATTTTAATTCTATTATATTTCACACATTTCTCATCATCAGTGATATCACAGCCAAGAAGTCTAACTCACAATTCAGATTAAAAAAAAAACAAAAAACAGATATTTTAAAAACACAAATTTTTGTTGTTGTTGTTGTTTGATTTTATTTTATCTGAACTGTGAGTTAGAAAGGGTCAGAAAGACTGAAATGATGGAGTGACACTAATGTAATGAGATGTAATAAATCCCTAAGAATCTCAAGCTGAACATTTTAAAACAAACTCAGCTTGTTGTTTTTATAGGCTCTGAATGTGTGCCTTTTATTTCAATGTCTTTTGTGTTTTATTCTGGTAAATAGATCTAGTCTAGCTAAAACATTCTGTTACTCAAGTTTGCAGCCCCAGGGTCATCCTTGAATCAGTCTTTTTATGTCTGACTTGAATTATTTGTTTTCTGAATGCTTCTTTAATCTGTTACCTCCTTTCTACTATCATGAGAGCTTTGGTTCAAGTCCTAAGCATTTTTCACCTAACTGATATTTCCAACATCAATCTTCTCTTATTGTGAGTGGTACAAGTTACCCTTCCAAAATAAAACCATGGTCATTATTCTTCATTAGGGGCTTCCCTGGTGGCTCAGAGGTAAAACTCTGCCTGCAATGCAGGAGATGTGGGTTTGATCCCTGGGTTGGGAAGATGCCCTGGAGAAGGAAATGGCAACTCAGTCCAGTATTCCTGCCTGGGAAATCCCAAGGACAGAGGAGCCTGGTGGGCTACAATCCATGGGGACACAGTTTTCAGACCTGACTTACTGACTAAACACTAACAATTCTTAAAGTTTTTTTTTTTTTACTGAAGAATAGTTGATGTATAATATTTTATAAGTTACAGATGTATAACACAGTGGTTGACCACTGTAAAAGTTATATTTCATTTAGAATTATGATAAATTACTATATAAACTATATCCTTATAGTTTATTTATTTTAGACATAATAATTTGTATGACTTAATCCCCTACCCCTATCTTGTCAATTCCCACTTTCTTCTCCTCGCTGTAACCACTAGCTTTTTTTCTATACCTATGAGCCTGTTCCTTTTTTTTTATATATTCATCAGTTTGTTTTGTTTTTTACCTTCCACATACAATTGATATCATACAATGTTTGTATTTACTGTATGATTTATTTCACCTAGCATAATAACCTCCCATGTTGTTGCAAACAGCAAAATTCTATTCTTTTTTTTCTCTTGGTGAGTGCTATTCCATTGTGTATATATATATATATATATACACATCTGTTGATGGACACTTAGGTTGCTTTCATATCTTTTATATGCATATTTTTAAAATATCTAATTGCAAAAAATCCACTCCTTTACAAATTATAGAAGGTTCTTCAAGTTCTAGGTCACATAACTATGTCTTTCTTTCCTTCATTTTTTTTTTCTCATTTCCCATCTGTACCTAATGGCTTGCGAATCTCACTTTCTTCAATTCTCTGTTCCTCAGGCAGGTTGTTTCCCATATTTGGAATGCTCACCGTCTCCAATTTATCTACTTTGAAAAACACATTGTCCTTTTACTCTACTATTATGTTCAAAATTTACCTCCCTTTCAAAGTTTTCACTACTTCTCCAATTATTCCTTATAATTTTGTACTATGCTTCCATAATATTTGCTATACTTCTTTTATCAAATCATATTATCAATTCTTGACTACATAGTTTTCTCTTGATTAAGTACCATGTAAATGTATATACTAAATCTTGCTTATACGTGTCTGTCTCAGCATTATTCTACCTGACAAATAGGGAATCCTAGAGAAATACCAGTCTATCAATGTTGAATGGCTATATGCAAAACATTATTCTGTGGTGTATTCATGTCAAGGTATGGCAAAATCACTACAATTTTGTAAAGCAATTAGCCTCCAATGAAAAGAAATACATTTATATTAAAAAAAAAACTAGTGAAAAAAAAATTCCAAGGAATAAATATAGCATTGAGCAAAACAGTAATTCAATTGGCTACAAACTCAATATAAATCTAAATGACAAATACTTTTGTATTTATTTCAAAAAGGAGTTAGAGAATGGAATTCAGATTGGCTCACACAGTTGAAAAGTAAGGGATAAAACCTTGGACTACTCAGAGAATGAAACCTAAATCTGTGTGTAAACTCTGTACAATCCCTTAGCTAATATGCAACTACCCACAAGTGGAAGAAATGCCAAGAATTTAGGCATACAGTAGGGACTAGAAAGCTGAGGTAGCTGATCATTACTGTGAACCACTGCAGGAAAGACAGGATTTCAGTAAAGCCAGATTTACAGCTTGCTATATTAAAACAAATCAAACAAAAACACTGCATTCTTTAGAAGTTAACAAAAGTCCAAATCATCATAATACATCATCATTAATTTCCATAATAGAATCATGAATTACTAAACTTAGAAAGGGAAAAAACAAACAAACAAACAAACAAGAAAGCATGAATCACAGGCTACAGAGAAAAGGAGTCACTACAAATGATCTTAAGATGAAGGCAAAAAAAAAAAAAAAGATGAAGGCAATCATGATATAATTGCAACTTTAAAGTAAAACAAAATTATAATTAACAAGTGGGGACTTTCAGCAAATAGAAAATATAAATAATCATAAGCAAATACTCAAACTAGAAAGTAAACATATGAAATTAGAAAAATAATCTTTAGATGGGTTTCAAAAGCACATTGGTAAACACAGAAGAAATGGTCAATTAACTTAAAGATTTACGAATACAGATCACCCATCTTCAGAATAGAAATACAAAAACTATTAGAAAAATAAATAGAACTGGTTTCAGGAAGACAATATCAAGCTATCAAATATATTTATTGCATAATTATAGTCCCAGAAGAGGAAAAGAGAAAAATGGAGAAGAAAGAAGAAAAAGGATGAAAAAGAAAATTTTTAGTTATATAAGGAAACTTTCTTATTCTTTAGAAAATGCTCTCAAATATTTAAAGATTGTATTAGTCTGCTAGGGCTGCCATAATGAAGGAGCACACACTTAGTGGCTTCAACGACAGAACTGTATTCTTTGCAACTTTCTCTAGGGTCTCCACAGGGGATTCAGACATCCCTCATCTTGTGAGATGAAGACTGGAGACTAAAAGTCCGAGATTAA